AAATGGGGGCAGGGGCCGGGGGGGTAAAAAAGCTTAAAGGCGAAGCCCGGGAAGGGGAAACGCCCGAACGGCCGACACGGGCAGACAGGCCAGAAGGGCCCAAGGCCCAAGGCCAAGGGGGCAAAAAGGAAATGGAAAAAGGCAAAGGCAAGGGGAAGGGCCAGACCGCAGAAAGGAAGAGCGAATAAAAGCAAAAAGCAAACCCAGAAAATAAATAAAAACAACTTCATTGGGGGACATGTTGGGCCCCAAGGGGGGCTTTTGCCGTCTTTGGGCCATTCCCACAGGGGTTTCAGGTTTTTGTTTTTTTCCCCCCCCCCCCCCCCCCACGGCCTTGTTTGCCATCGGGGTTTGGGTTTTCGTCGCTTGGCAACGACGTTGTAAAACAAGCCGCCCCCCCCGGTGTTTACCATCGGGGTTGGGTTTTCGTCGCTTGGCAACGACGTTGTAAAACCAGCCCCCCGCTCGGTGTTTGCCATCGGGATTGGGTTTTCGTCGCTTGGCAACGACGTTGTAAAACAAGCCAATTCACTTCGTGAACTCGGCAACCAGGTTACCGTTTTTTTTTTTTTTTACCTCGGGTTTTTTTTTTTGGCGGTAACCATAATGGTGGTCGAGTAGATCATGTTGTGCGGGGTGGAGGACCCTCACTCCGCGCAACGGGGGATGATCGCACCACGTTGTGTTAAATTGGTCAAGCACCCTCGAGGCAGTTACACAGTGCTTACAACTGTCTCTGGAAGTGATAGCACCAGAAAATAAATTAAGTCATACGTAGCTGTCATCCGTACGCAAGGAAGTAAGCACAAGATGCCGAACACCCTTAGCAGGATGCAGCTCACCCTTCATGCGACTCGCCAAATACCTCACGGTGCTTCGCGCTTGGTGATGTGAGAGCCTGGTCCGGTGAGAACCCGGCGTGCTCCGTCCCGGCTTTGTAGGGATGCGAGGTCAATGGTCTAATGACTACGGCATGCACGACTATGAGTACACCCCCCCCCAACCCTCTCGATTTCAGGCGCTGGAATCCTTCCAGGCCAAGGGAGACACGACGACACCGACACAACAAACGGGGTCGGCGCTATCGACGACGACCTTGGCAGCGCCAGCGACCGCGGCGGCGGGAGGGGGACCAGGGCCGGGGAGGGTTGCCGCGGTGACAACCCCGTCGAGCGACGCGAGGGAGGCGTTGAGGTTCCTGTTCGGGAAGGACGGGGAGTTCTTCAGGGAGTTCCTGTTGGATGAGGTATCTACGTACAGCACGTGATGTTGTGCCGCATTTTTTTTTTTTCTTTGCTATTTTTTTTTTTTTTGGTCTCTGCGTAACTTGTATCTGTTTCGAGGTAATTGGTTGTGTTTCATTGTTTCCTCGTCTCTTGTGTGCTTTTCTGTCTGTTCCCACACGAGTCTCCTCGGTCGTTCTGCATGTGCTCGTCGCCCTGTCAGATTTGTATAGTACGCTATCAGAGGTGCACTCACGCTGAATCGATCCATATTGCTTTAGAAAACGCCAAGGCAACCAACAACTCCCCCCGTCGTCGTCGTTGATTGTTTTTTTTTATCTCCCAATATTACACAACAATGTTTGCCTCTATCCCCTTATGCGAGCCCGGGATGAAATATAAGTAATGAGTACATTGCGTTGCTTTTTTCTGTTGTTTTGCTCACAATTTATCAGGATAATTCGTTTTTTATCCACATGCACGAGTCCGGGTTACATTAGCAATCAGTCCATAGCGGTTTTCTTTTTTTTTTTCTATTTTTTCTTCCAGGTGGTGAAGGGCGCCGACTGCCTGGGAAGGGACGCGGCGAGAGAGCTGGCTTTCACGGTGGGCCTCAGGGGCAGCAACGTGCCCAACCTGCTGAGGGCGGTGACGCCGAAGCTCAGCGACGAGGACCGGAAGGTGGTGGACAACACCAACAAGCTCCTCGCCTTCCTGCTGGGGAACCTCCAGGTGCGAGGACGGGGGAGGCGGGGGGTGTTTGTGTACTGCCCTGCCCGCGTATAATATGCCCGTCTGGGTGTATGTGTGTGTTTCGTTTCGCCTGTTTTTTTTGTGCTTCGGGACATCTTTCGCTGACGGAAGTGATTTTTTTTTTTTTCACGCTTCCTTCTCGGGGACACGCAGGGGGGTCGTCGGTACATTATTTCCGCGCACGCCCGAGTACCGCTAGCCACCCGTCACGCGTGTGCTGGATTCTCAAAGCTAATGAAGTAGAAGTACTGTCTCCCCCCCCGCCCCCGGGAAAGCATTCCGCGCGAAGAAAGCCAGCCTTCGCAAGAAATACGACAACAGAGCTTTGAATAAAATATACAGCAAGACTTTAAATTCCTGCGCAACGTACACAAGTCCCACAGAACATGGGCAACACGAATGACATACATAACAGCGAGTGATCAAACGCAGCGTATTGTAGCAGTAGGACCTGCAGCAAAGACGCCACTCGCCTAGAAGCAAAGTCGCCGCGAGAAAGAAAAAATACCTCGCACGTACATTATGCATATTTCCAGGCAAGTCATGCAGGTTGTACGCAAAACCGGCACTCACCACCGAACGTCATGACGCACGCGTTTGAGATGCAACGATGCGACGGACCTTGTCGTCTGGCGTCGCCCCCGGGAGGCAAGCCACCTAACTCCCGAAGGGGAGAATACATTGTGCGTGGATCCCCGCGCATGACCGTCTGGGTATTTACAAGCACCCTGCCTAAACATATCGCAATGTCGCCAACAAACCCGGCTCTTTCTTTGGAGTTACCAATGTAGAGTGAAGCATCGCTCGTGACTCATGTACCTTTTGTGGTTCGTTTTTTTGGTGAGCGCGGTGTTGATGTTTTCGACACTTGACCGACCTGAGGTTTGCGTGCATTGTTTCTGGTACGTCATGATCCAAATACTTGTTGTTCGATAAAGCTTGCGTCCCCTCGCCGCCCGACTTGTCTTTGCACACCGAAGAAATTTTATTGCTGGGTCCTCGTGTTCTGCCTATTCGAAACCAACCGTCCATCCCCCCTCCTCTCGTCCATTGTTGGTCTCTTTACCCTCCCTCTCTCTTACCGTCTCTGTCTGTCTCTGTCTGTCTCTGTCTGTCTGTCTGTCTGCTGTCTGTCTGTCTGTCTGTCTGTCTGTCTGTCTGTCTGTCTGTCTGTCTGTCTGTCTGTCTGTCTCCCTCTCATTTATACTCTCAATGAAAAACCGTCACATCGCTGGACCAACAAACAACACTGACGGTACGGTACAAACAGGACGAATCCCAGACAAAGCAGCGACAGACCCCGGTCAACCCCGCCCAGGGACTGTTCGGCCTCCGCGTGGCAACTCCCCCCTTCAACCTCCTGGGCCTGGGGACATCTGCGCGGGGCACCGCATTGCGAGAGGAGCTGACCCCAGTGATTCGGGAGCTGGGGCCGGAGATGAGGGAGTTCGGCTTACAGGTGTGCATGTCGGCGTTTTTTTTTTTTTTTCCTTCGGCAATGAAGATAATAGTAGGCTTGCAGTTGTGTAGAAAGTAGTTGGTGTTTTTTTTGCCTGAGGGAAAGTCGGAAAATGAGGGAATTCGGCGTGCACATATATTTGTCGGCACTTTGTTTCTTCCCGAGGAATTTGTTGTGTTTGGCTGTTGCTGTTCTTTACCATGTTAGTTTTTTTTCCTGAGGAATTTGGCCTGGAGGTACATGGTATGTCGGTATTTTATTCTGGTGTGATATCGACCTTGTTGTAGTATTTTTTGTGCCATCGACCAATGTAGTCGTGCTTAGTTCTCACTTGAATGCAGATCGAATGGAAAAGCGACCGGTCTCCTGGCGCAATCCAGGAGGCCGGCTGGCTGACTGGCTACACGTTTGTCGTACTGGTGGCGACGATTGGCCAGCCCCCTGTCGTTCTCCACAGGGCGGGGGCTGTCGAACGGCAACGATCTCACTGAAAAGACTGCCGCTGTTTGCGTGCTCTGAGTGATGGATCGGAAAGATGCTTGGGTCTCTCGGCTACATGTAGGCCGCCCGATGTCGTGAAAAGACAATCGAACGGTGCTGAAAGCTAACGGGCATCACGCCTGTCCCATTTTTTATTGGCAAGGATGATGGCCAGCCTCTGGTTGATCCTTGTGAAACGCAGCCTGGGCCTTCGAAAATATCGCTCCGTCCCGGTAGCATTGTAGGGGTGCGAGAGACCAATGGTCTAACGACTACGGCTTGCGTCTACGTGCGTAACACCCTCCCACCCCCATCGCTCCGTCCTGGCTTTGAAGGGATGCTATTTATGTAGGTCAACTGTCGAACGACAACAGCATGCACTCCCATGAGTTTACGGTACTCCCGCCCCCCCCCCCCCTCATTTTTTGCGGTGGCCTCATTGTTTGTTTTCGGCGGAACCCGCGCCAGGTGGTGGGTCGGCTCACCGAAAAGCTTGCCACGAGGGTGCTGCGCTACACCAGCGGGCGCGTCCTTAACAACTACTACAACGACGGTGGCGGCGGGGAAGGCAGCAGGGGCACGAGCCGCGGCGGCGCCGGCGGTCAGTACGGCGCAAGAGCATCGCCAGCAGCAGCGGGAGCGGGAGCGGGAGCGGGAGCGGGAGCGGGAGCGGCGACGTCTTCGTCTTTTTCCACGCGCGGCAACGGGGTTTCGAGCCCCGGGAGGGTGGCGAGGCCGGGGGGTCGAAAGTTCGGAGAGGGCTTGTGAAGAGGGGGGGGGGCTATGGGGCATGACCTACCTGGCTGTGCCCCCCATTGATTGTAGATGGAAGTTGGGCTGGTCTTCGCCGTGGTATGGGGACTCTCTGCGAAAACGCCAGAAGGGTGGGAGTTCACAGGAGGAGATTTTGGCGCCAGATTTTTCTGTGCACACAGGTTTTTGCAGCTTGTTTTTGCCGCTGAGGACGGTTTTTGAGTCGGGTAATTCTTTGTGTTTTTTGTGGTCCGTGGTTCGTTTTTTTCGGTAGTTTGTTTTCCCCATAACAAGAGTAGGGGGCTGGGGTTAACGTGCATGCGCCTTAGGAGTGATGTGATCGGCATTGTCTTCTTGCAGACTGCCCCCCCCCCCCCCCCCCCCGGCGGGGGGGCGGGGGTTCCCCGGCTCTCTTGGGGGTTTAATGGCCGGCCCCCGGGGGGGTTTTTATCCGCCCCTCCTGGCCGGGGAATTCCACTTTTGGCATCCCCCCGCCCCCCTTAAAAATTGGAAAGGGGGGAAGGAACCCCACCGGCCCGTTTAAAAACCCGGGGGCCTAATGGCCCCTAACACTGGGGGTGTTTTGGGCCCCTCCAACCCCTTCCGGGATTTAAAAATAACTGGGAAAATCCGTGCCGGGGCACCGGGAAACATTTTTTCCCCCCCTTTCCAACGGAAGGGTAACTTGGGGCCAGCTTTGTTGCCCCC